CGCTTGTAGCCGAGGTTTCTCACCGAGGATGTGAAAAGGTTTATGTAGCTCTATTACTGTAGGTGTTTGTAGACGGTAACGCTGCGTCTACAAACGCATACATCAATAGAGCTACGTAAACCTCTTCACAGTCAGCTCTATTGTGTGTAAACGGGGAGCTATCATACATAAATTTACAGTTATGACAAAAAAAAATTGTCTATGGGAAAGCCCGTCGGGGAGATGATAACTTTTACAGTTTTAGTAGTAGAGCGGTAAGTTATATCCGGGTTCTGCACAGTAGTACGTATGATACATGATACCGAGAGTTCGGTAATACCAGAGTGTGCAACGTATCATACGCACTACCGTACCGCTACAGGTAAGTAGTACTACGGTAGTCGTAACTCAAAGAATCTCTCTCTCATATCCGGCCATGATGGTGATTGGCATTTTCGATGATGGGAAAGCGACGAATCCCTGTCCTCTATGCGGAGAGAGCACAAAGGCTACTCTAGCTAGCTAGTAGCGCTATGATACAAGCAACTGTGCCAGCAACGGTACTGCTCTACTCACTGTCAATACTAACGTAAGTCATCGACCATGAATAGGCAGTACTCTACACCAGACTCTGTATGAAATACTGTCGAAATGGTTAATAAGGCTTCTACAACAAATAATTATGATGACCGTTCTGCGCAGGCGGCGTTCAAGGAGCAATTCTTGGAACTGATGCGTCTACTTCCATCGATGCTGTTTTTGGTGGTATGTCTGATAGCATCCACAGTGTCATTTCTACAGCCTCCATCCACATTCCTATCGTCTCGTCAAGACATGCCCAAGCACATCTTGCCCCCAAAACGACGACAAAGCGCTAAGTCTTTGTCCCCTTCCAACACGACCCTGCGAGACTTTTTGTTGCATCCTGAAGGAATTTACTTGGCAATGGCACCTTCCTTCTTTGGCTTTTACGGGTACTTTGGTGCTCTGGCGGGCATCGAAGAAGGGTTGTTCACAGAAACAACACCAGAGGACTCTATAGGTTCATCATCGTTATCGTCTTCTTCACTGTTGATTCAACATGATATTTTGAAAGGGGTGGCAGGCGCCTCGGCTGGAGCTATGGCGGCAATATTATTGGCTGCCGGGATTTCACCTATCAAAGCAGCACAGTTCTGCAGCACCATTCAATTGCAAGATTTCTTTGATTTTCCGGCTTGGTTCTCCTTGATCAAGGGAGACAAGTTCGAAGCCATTATGAATGAATTTTTGATGAGCTCGTCGCCAATTGCAACTAGTGTTTCTAGCAATGCTACACCTCCCGAGCTTGCCCGCAGCTTACAGCTACAAGATGCCTTGATTCCTGTCGGTATTTCAGCGTTTGACTTGCAAACGCTCCAAGCAAAAATCTTGTCCGAAGGGAGCATGGCCCGAGCAGCCCGTGCCTCCGCTTGTTTTCCCATTCTTTTCGAACCAGTCGGGTGGATTGATGAAGCAACCGGACGCAACTACATGTTCATAGATGGTGGATTGCGAGATACATCCGGACTGGCAGGTTTGGCACACTTCACCGGTACCGAACAGCAATCCAGATCGTTGCCCAAGCGAGTCGTCAACATGGTGGTTGGTGATTTTCACCTTAAATCAGTACCGGGACCTTCAGACATGCCTGCGGGCTTGACAACTAGCAGTCTCTTGTCGATATCCATTCAGAATCTACCCCAATGCGGCCCGTGGGCCATGAAAAATGGACCGTTGGCCGTGGAGGCCTCCCGACGTGCTTTGCTGGCATCACTAGATCTGCCGCTGCACAAAGGAAAGACTGACGGTCATTTCGAATTACACATTGACGCCTCTCATTTTGTCGTAGAAACACCGAAAAGATGATAGCTCTATGACATTTACTTTCTAGCTATTATTGAAAATTAATGACAAAAGTCGCCCTCATAGTTTTACGACTGTAGTAGTCGTCAGTCCTCCTTGTTGCAGCATCTTTTGGTATCAGAGAATATGCATTATGCAGAGAGACCTATGCGTCTTCGCATGTCAAGCAGTTACTACGACAAAAAAAGCATTCAACTTAATTTGTCGGTCAGGCTCCGGAGCACACCAATGGCAGTGATACCAGTGCAAATTGGTTCACAATGGATTTCAAAAATACATGGACAAACTGTGACATCCAACAGAAATCATTATCCATCGAAATCCCCGCTGGTTCCTCGCCTCATGGCCTATTGCTGCTTCGAAAGTAGCGTCCCATGTCTCCAAAGCGTGTACGCCGTATTGGCAGCACGTAATCGACTTCCCATGGATGGAAAATTTCTTGCAGATGTTTTCTTCCCATTGACAAAAACACTATCAAGAGGCTGCGGCCTTCTTGCAAACCATCCCCGTAAATGAATCATGACAGACGCAGAGTGGGACGACAAATTGACGATGGTCTCTTGTTTCTTCACGGCCCGTTTGGTTTCTAACCGATTACACTGCAACTCTACCCGAACTCCAAACTCGATTCTCTTACCCTACAGGACTTGATCTTCCCCAGACGGGTGAATACGGATGATCCAGCGCATCAAAGGAGGCAACGACTTGAAAAAGATTCCAAGAAGAAAGAACCTCGACTCTTCACATTTTACATGTCTTCGTTCCTTGCTTTTGACAACACGCACAAACAGTGACGAAATAAGGAAATTTTGTGATCCATTTGTTTTTTGAGAGGATGTATAATGTTTGGTCTTCACCAGAAGGTTGACGATGGATGATTCGACGTCTCGTAGGTTCCAACAAAATGATCGTTGATCCTGTTTTTATAGTCACTTTCTTTTTCATCATGAGATGGATGCAGTGATAGTTTGCTTGGAGCCAACGGCAACGCTATCGTTTTCGATTTTGTCGGATGCAACCATGCTTTCATCTGCATGTTTTCCTGTTCGCAACTGGACCCACGGAATGGCAGGTTTCTCGATTGATGCAACATTATCTTTAGTACAAGTGCCATGATGCCAAACGATGTGGAAATTGTCCCCGCAATGCGTTTCCAAAAAGTACTTGAGTTGCTTGCAATGAAATGCTTGTTGGAGTTCAGTCAGCAATAAGAACGACGCTCCTGGGTGTTGATACGTTTTGTGATATTCCTTGGGCAATCGGGAAAGGGGAATGCACTGATGGGGAAGTGTCTGCAAGAGTCGACTGAGGTTTGTTTGAAACGTTGCCAAATCTTGCCAGGATTGTGGTGCAATGGGAGCTTGGGCTTTTTTCTTATTAGATTGTTTTTCATGTGATGTTAGTTGCGTAGTGGCAGTTGTGTGTCTGTGACTGGAATGATCATTGTATAGCTTGGAACGTACTACTGTCTTTTGATGTTCAAAGTCAATATGCCATTGGGCGTGCCATTGAAGTAGCGGCGGGATGTCTTGCAAATGACAGTGTCGAGATCTCTGTCGAATGATTCGGGCAGCGTTGGTTGGGTCGTTCCAATAGGCCATCCATAGGTTATAGGCGTCTTGGATCTCGTTCCACTTGGCATCACTGGTTGGTTGTTGATTGTTTTGTCGTCGTATCTCTTGAAATCGACACTGAAGTTGAATTCTGTGTACTTGTCGGTCGGGATGATACTGTGTAATCAGTCGTTTGTAGATTTGTCGAATCACTGTGACTGTGGGGGCATGGCATGGCCTCTTGTACGACAGTGTGTTATCATCTGATTTAGAATCATGATGAAACAAAACCTGGTAGGCATGTTTCCACAAGACTGGACTTGCATGAAGTCGCAACCATTCGGCGGTTTCGAATTGTCGCCCTCGTTCGGCACAATCGGCTGCCAACAAATGTTGCTGGTCCCTCGTGTCATCGAGCAGGTGCGGTTTCGTTTGAATCAAATAGGTACAGAGGGGCAAATTACCGGCAAAGGCAGCTTTGTGCAGGGGCGTTTGTCCCTGACGATTGGGCAGGGTCCAGTCCAATTGTAACTGCGTGTCGAGATAGCGACAGAGCGTCCAGATTCTAGTCCAAGCAGCAGTGGCAGAATCAGAGGCACTGCTTTTGTGTTCAATATCCTCTGTTAGGTGGGCTTGATAAATAGGACTCTTTGCCAACCAATGGGCCAAGGTGCAGCCCCATCCATTTTCCAAATGGGGATTGGCGGCACATTCTTCGATTAGAAAGCGACAACAGTCGACGTGTCCTTGCCAGATACATAGTTGTAGAGGTGTCACTTGTCCCTTGGCCATTACATCCACGAGCGAAAGATGGGAAGAATCATTGTTACACGCGTCACCACTACCATCATCATCTTCTTGCTTTTCTTTCTTTTGTTGCGTCATGGTTTGCACCAAGAACTTCATGACAGACAATTGACCATTCCGTGCCGCCCAATGAAGCGCCGTTCGCTGACTTTTGTAGCTCGTACAATACAATAGTGCTGTTTGAGAAGTAGATTGTAATTCTTGTCCTTGTTCCGCACGTTGTTCTAGTTGCAGCAAAAAGCGGCATATTTCCAAGTGTCCATTGCCAGCCGCGTAATGCAACAACGTGGTACCGTCGTCTCTTCGACTTTGCAAAATTAATTCTTGTCGTTCTTGTTGAAGCGCTTCGAGATTTCCATCCGTAGCGCACCGAAAGAGACGTTCGGACACATCGGCAGTGACGATGTTGTTGTTTCGTTGCTGTTGCAAGGGAGATGGTTCTTGATTTATCACTGGTGGACAGTTACTACTGCGCTCCGAACTTCTAGAAGACAGTGCTGTACTCATAGCAGCTTGGAACTTCCTTCTTTCAATGACTGGCGTGAATTTAGGCAGTAAAATTTCGTCTCACAGCTACATTTTAATCTTATTGAAGCTTGAAACCGATACAACCATGATGACATGAAGCATTTATAATCCACTTCTTCGAAGCATTCACAGGGAAGGTATTCACAATTCGCACAGTCATCCAATTCAGAGAGGTGACGGTTGTCTTGTTCACTTAACAATAGAATTTATATACATAAAATTCAGCCGTACCCATTGATGCTACTAGGTTTCTGCTTGGCGCAACGGTAGCGCGTCTGACTTCTAATCAGAAGGTTGCGGGTTCGAGTCCCGCAGTGGAAAATTTTTGAACCACACCCAATTTTATTCTTCGATTCACAGCAACAAATCTGTAACCGTGGATTCTAATAATGTACTGTAGTAGCACGCTCTACCTCTCTAGGCGCTACCGATTCCAACTTCGTCAAGTCTGCGCGTGATTTTTTCTTTTCCTCTGTTTCGTAGTTGAATAAAAAAATATGATAAAAGCAACACTACGGCAATGGCTGGCTCCGTTTGATTGACTATGAGTTTAATGGTTTTTCTTTTACTCTCTATTTCAAGATAAAAGCAAAAGTAAGATCCTACTACATACGTCGAACAGTTCATCACTATCAACTTTTCATGATCTCTCTCTCCAATGCCGAGGATTGCTATCCATAGATCCAAAGTCTCCGTGCTCCACTTCTGTAGTATGAAAGACAATCAAGGCAAAGGACCATAGGTGCAAGGTGGTCAAGTACAGGAAAAAAACCAATCGAGCCAATGGTTCATGTCGGAGAAAAGTGCCAGTATCCACCATCCATTGGTCCACGGCATCCATTGTCATGAACAATTGGTCCATCCCTGTACTTGTGCTTCCATGTGAGCCATCCCCCCTTCGACTGCTGTTCAAAGTACTTACAGCAGGCCCCAGCCTCAAGGCAGAACGGATGGTTCTCACTTGCGATCCTTGGGCCTTCCCCTTGATACGACGACGAGTGATGTAGGATTGTCCAATGACGGGGGATCCCATGCTTCCGACATGTGAATTAGCAGCAGCTCCAACCTCTACATCAAACAAAGACAATCTGCTATTTTGTGACAACGCCTCTTCTGCTTTTTCAGCGCGGGATGTTGCGGCCTGTAGACGACCCTTCAATGTCAAGATTTCTGACTTGGAATATTCGGCCTGTTGTTGGTATTTGAGTACCTGCTCCGAAAGGTTGGATATTTCTCCTTTGGCGTCATTCAATTGTTGTTGGATGCGTTGGTTGTACTGCTGCTGCTGCTGCTGTTGTTGTTGTTGATTGAGATCTTCTTGTTGCACCGACGAGGTTCTTTGTACCTTGTCGTCCATGATGCTGGATACTTTAATAAGAGGAGCATCATTGTTGCTGGAGCGATATCCGGCTGTTTCGTGCAGTGACGCTTGCAACTGTGATATTATCAATTCCAGTTCCGCGATCTTTCGATCATGGTCCTGTTGACGAGCCTGTTCCATCTCCGCTTCCCTTGTCCTTTCGGCGGATACGTCCTGTAATTCTTCGTGTAACGATTCGCGTCGTTGTTGTTCCATGGCCAACTGAACCCGCAACGATTCAATTTCGTCGACTGCCTGTTCCCATTGGACCTTGTAGGTCATGGTGTCTACCGCCTCAGACTCTTCCACACCGTTTCCAGCCATGAAATGCTGCTGCTGCTGTTGCTGCTGCTGCTGCTGCTGCTCGTGTTGTTTGGCGAGGGACAGTGCCGACCCTAGTTCCGAGATGGTTTGTTCTAGTTCGGATTCTCGTCGTTGGCGTTGTGCGAGTTGTTTGGAATGCCGAGCCTTGGAGGCATCCAACTCATCCTGTGCCTGTTTTTCTCTTTCCAGGGCGGTCTTTGTTGCGTGGAGGGCGTCGTTCAGTTTTAGCCGTAATTCCGATTCGATACCTCGCGACTCGTCCAAGCTGCGTTGTAGATTGTCGTTTTCGATCGTAACGTGACTGAGTTTTTTCAAGGCGTCCCTTTCTCGTTGTATGGCATCTTCCAGTTCTTGGTTCCAATTCCCCCCTTCTTGTCGTCGTTTTTCCTGTTCCTGTTGGAAACGTTCCTTCCATTCGGCGATGGTCTTTTCGTAGTTGTCTCGCAGTTGATCGAGCTCGGATTGATGCTGTTTCTGCAGTTCTTCCATTTCCTCTTCATGTTCCTCGATTATATCTTCTTGTTCTTCTCGAGCGGTCTTTCGTATGTTTTCAAGTTCCTTTCCGGCTTGTTGCAATTCTCTGGCTTGGGCTTGCATCTCTTGTTCATTTCTGGCGATGGTTTCCTCGAGCATGGACATTCTTTGTTCCAACCTCTGATTCTTGTTTTGGGCTGTCATTAAATCCTTTTGAGCTTGATCCAAAAGACTTTGGAGGGCTTTTACCTTGCTGTTTTTGGTACTGTTGTTGTTGTTGTTGTTGTTGTTGTTGTTGTTGTTGTTGCTGGCAGGAGAAGGAGAAATATTACTCGTAGTAGTAGTTGTAGTATTAGTAGTAGTAGAATCATTCCTCTTGGTGCCGGCCGTAGTCGGTACATTGGTTGTTGTTGTTGTTGTCGGTTGGTTCGTGACCGTTCGTGATTGAAAAGGAGGACGGTCGTTGTTGTTTGTCAAAGAGGCAGTAGGATGCGGTTGATGTTGGATCGGATTGTTTGTCGGATGTTTTTGAGGTCGAATGGTATCGTTTTTGGTACGAGCATCGGAGACGTCAACGACAGGACCTTCAACCATTATAGCAATAATTTCTTGCGTTTCGTCGGAAAAACTCAATTCACTGACAGAATCCGTCGTTGTGTGATTCCGTGTTTCACCAATCGGTATCTGTCCTCCGGGGGATACAGCAGCAGCAGCAGCAGCAGCAGAAGGAGTAATGGCAGCATCTGGAGGTGGATCAACTGTAGATACTGTAGATTCTGTGGCTACAGCAGTTGTGGTTGTTGTTGTTATTGGGTTGGTGACTGTTGTGAGTGACAGGGGTTGCTGCATTTCGGGAACAGCAGGAGATGGTATCACAGCATCAACATGGTCATCAACATAATCATCATGATCATCATCGTTTGGATCTTCCTCGTTTTTATCATTGTCTTCTTCTCCCTCGTCACTTTCACCACTGATACCGTCGTCATTATCATCAGTGGTGTAGTATTCGTCGGTGGAATATTCGTCCTCATCATCATTATCATCGTCATCATCTTCGTCATCTTCTTGTTCACGACGATGGTCGCTGTTATTGGGACGTCGAGTTGCTGCAACGCCACTACTAATACCACCAATACCTCCAATCAGCCCTGCCGTGGTGGAAGACACTACCTGACGACTTGTCTCCAACAACAATTGTTGGCCGTCACCGGCGGCTTGATCTGCCACTGTCCCATCGAGATTGTCCAACAGGGTATTGACGGACTTTAACCACCTCGACATGAATGATCGATCACTGGTGACAGATACTGCTGCTGCTACTACTAATAACAATAATAAGAATGATTAACAGTAAACAACTGATGAAATGTCGGTACCTACGGTAGTCCACTCTCGCAACAACAAATTCATAATGAGAGAGAGAGGGAGGGTCCTTTTTTCTTGTTTTTTTTCTCTCTTCTATTTTTCATCGTGCACCATGCAAAAAGGTCATGAATGAGGCCTGATGGTTGTCTGTTCTTCTGTAAAAGTATGATACAACAAAACAAATATCATGACCCAGTCGTTTTCCTCATATTTTATGGAATCTAATAATAATAAATACAAAAATTGAAGATGAAAGACTTCACTACTACTCCGAGTACGACGTACGACGTACTCGGAGTACGAGAGTACCGTAGTATCTTACTGTTAGTATCATCATTATTACGTGTATGATACAAAGAATACTCGTGGTCCTACATATGATATGAGATACCTGGTAGCTGGAAGCTGGTAGCGAATCCTACGACTAGCTAGAGTAGAATCTAGCTCTCTCTACTAGAGCTAGAGAGAGGAGCTGGCTACTACGAAAGTACCGTGATGAAGAGAATCGTAGACTATAGACTACCTCTCTCTGGCTAGTATGTTCCAAACTTTTGTTTGGGCTGGATCCTGTCGCTTTTCTACGACAACGGTGGGAGGAGGGAGTTTTGGGGGTGAACTTGCTTCCTCCCATGCTGCTGGACTGCTGCAACAAAGCAATCGCATGTCTGTGGGGTTTTTTTTTTTTTTTGAAAGGCTGAGGACAGGCTGAGGACAGGCTGTGCTTCTACTGGCTGTCAGCAAGACAGAGATCCTTCCTGGAACAGGAAAATTCGAAAGAAAAAAAATCCGAGTGGAAAGTGAAGAAGTGTTTCTTTCCAAACAATGCGGGCCGCGACCAACCATTTTATTGGAAATGTATTTCGACATAACATGTAAATCCGAGATCCTGTGCATAACCCTACTACCGTACTCGTATTATCTTCATATTCCAAATAGTGCGACAATCGAATTCGTCCATGTAGCTGGGCGATGATTCAGAGTTCAAACGGATTGTTGACTGTGAATTGTTCGGCAATGCTTTCGTTTTGCTTTGTTCTCTCCCAATTTTCGGTTCTCACTTGGATGGTTATTTTTTCATTGAAAGTTGTAACGCAATACCTGCCTGAAATTGTCGAAAACTTGCGCTGCTGGGACTATCATCTCTTCCATCATTGGAATGATAGATCGTCTGGGGATGCTAGTAGTTCCCCAGGCTTTCGCAAACTGGGTTAAGCCACCCTACCAGCACGGCGAGGTGATCCACTTCAACGGGAGAAGAAGATTATAGTGAGATGACAAAGTCAAAATTCCGGACCCGCACAGGGGTCCTGCCCCATTCAATTTATCATCGTTGTGAGGAGTATCCTTTGGTACTGGCAAATACAAATTAAGCAGAGAAACCCATGCCTCTACACCCTCCGAAAAGAAGGGCTTATCTTCATACCACAGGATAACAACATTCACAATTCCATCACTCCGCATTGACAGTGAGAGAGTTTGAACTGCGCAGAAAGAACAAGCAAGGCTCCAGAAGGGACGCAGGTCTTACGAATATCACAAAAGACCACAAATGGGGATCTTCAAAGTAGCATCCTACACTAGGTAAAATTTCCAGAATGGAACCAGGAACAACCGAGAGCAGTCCTTTCAACACCTACCTGGTACAACAATTGAGAGCCAATACCAGCATGTTCCGGAGGCCAAGGATTGCGGAGACGTATTTGATTCCGAAGAAGTGCTATCATTTCGATTTTATACGATCGATCGTCAACAGAACTTGAATTCTGCGTTGTCGAATCTTTCACGCTTACAGTTA